GTGTCCATCTGTCTCCTGGAGGGCTCCCCAGTTCCTCCTTACTGCTGACCTGGTTAGCACCTCCTAACCAGACTTCTCCCGTGGCCACGCCCCCGGTCCCCCCAGTCCCACTTCAGATGTCTCAGCTCTCCTCCACCCACAAACAATTCTGAAATGTTCTGTTCCTGCATCTATCTTTTGTAACCTTTATTTTTTTTAAGTTCCCCCTTTACAGAAGGGGAACAAAACTGACTCTGAGATTCCCCATGCACTTTCCTTCAGTGCCCCCTAATGTTAACGTCTTGCAAAACTAGAAACCACTGTCGGAAAGAAAGCGGAAACTCGGGTGTGGAGCGGCAGCTAATCTCTAGGCCTGACTCAAGATTTCGTCCGCCGATGAGGCTTCTGTGGCCTTCATCGCCAGCACTCAGACCTGAGTCCACATGTATAAAGAGCTTTAAAAATCATGAAGAAAAAGTAACCATCCACTTAAAAAAAAATGGCAAACACTGTGAGATAGTTCCTGAAACCACTAGTGTGTTTTAAACAGGCAAAGTTACTCACTTCACTCTTCTTAGGAGAAATGCAAATTTAACCTATAGGGAGGGCCCTCCCTGGTGGGGCAGCAGGTTAAAGCACAGCACTAGGAGGCTGTCCACAGCCACTGCATTGAGTTTGATGCCGGCCAGGGAGTGACCCACATGGCACTGCAGACCTCTCCCGTCTCCCCGCTGCTCCCCTCAGCAGTGTACTTCAACGATCTGCCTGTTCTGCTCCCCACTGTGTCTCTGGGGAATCCTCTTACCCCACACCTCTGCCTGTTCCCCAGTTCCTGTATGCATAAATGAATAAATCTTAAAAAAAATAATAAACCTACAGGGAAGCACAGTTCCTCAGGCAACCCTCTGGGAGGGGATGTCTAGGGCAGCCCCCTCCAACTGTGCAAGTGCCCCTGGTAACCCCACTGTCTCCCCCATGGCCACCTGGAGCAGGACTCACGGCCCCCACCAGCGTCAGTGAGGCAGAGAAAGATGGCGCTGGGCCTGTCGGTTACGGAGCTGGGAGACAGTGGCCGTGAGAAATCCAGAAGGCAGCAGGGGCAGACTTTCAGGGCCCGAAGGAACTGTCTCCACTCCCACCTCCCTCTTGAAAGTGCCCACCAAGGCCCCTCCTCCAGGACGCAGGCCTGAGCTTCAGCCCATCTGCTGAGCCCCGGGTGCCAGGACATTTGGGGTACTCTGCAGGCTGGGCACCTGGGTGCCGATGGCTCGCCTCATGCCTGTCCTACGTGCCCACTGCTGCTCTGGCCCCACCCCGCGGTGCTCCCCCATACCCGTTTTGTTCACACACGCTCTCAGTAAATATGCATCAAGGACCCACTGTTTCCGCTTGGATGTGAGGGCATAAAGGACAGTGAGACACCCCAGCTCTGATGGAGCTCGAGGTGGGTTGGATGGGAGACATGTGGGTTAGCCTCCCAGTGTTGAGCAGTTGTAGATTATAACAGAGGAAAAGGGGGGCCCCAACGGAGGGGGATTCCAGCTGGTGGGGATACAGGCTTCCCAGGAATTAGGAATTCCAGCAAGAGACGAGGGTTGCTGGGGCCCCCATAGATGGTCGGTGATGTATGTGGACAAGGCTCCGGTGGGACCTGAGGGGGAGGCGGGGGTAAAGATGGGCGAGGCGCTCTTGGGGGGGGCCACAAAGAGCTAGGGAGCTGCACAAAACGCCCAGCCTGCAATCTCCCCACAGGAGTGGCACCCGATCACTAAATGCTGGCTCTCCCGGGACTAGTTCTGGCTAGTACAGGACTTAAAACTGGAGGCCCCTCCCTTTGCCTGGAATGAGCCCCCCAGGCTTGCTGAAGTTGCCATTGGGCCTGAGCCTGGGCTGCTCCATCCATCTGTTATTAGAGGGGTTCAGAGTCTCGGCTTCCCCTTCTGTGCCCATTTCTCCCTCTCCCCTTCTCCCTGTGTGACCTCAGGCAGGCCATGTAACTTCCAGGACCTGGGAGAAGTAAGTCTTTTCATCAAATTCCTCGGTGGTTTTGGCTAAAGTGTGCTCTGCAATTATAAGAACTGCGGCTGGCCAGAACATTGGCCCTGGTTGGGGGAGGGGAACAGCTGTGGGGTTCGCTGAGGTCATGTGTGGGCTGGGGGGCAGGTGGCTTAGGCAATCCTAGCCTGAACGTGGCCAGCCACCGCCCGACATGCCCACAGTCTCGGTCCTCGGGAAGTGCCTGTGACGTCAGGACCTGGTGACCTCCTGGCTGCCACTGCAGAACAGCTGAATGACAATTCTAGAAGTGCCATGGTGGGGCTGGCTGGCTGTTTCTCAGGGCCCTGGGGGGCTTCAGGGGCACGATGAGGCAGGGCTTTAGGCTCAGGGTCAAGGTAAGGGATGCCACACCCCCGTGATGTCTCTAAGACGTTCAAGTTGAGTTTTCTGAACACCAAACCATAAGTCCATCTTGGGGTCAACTGAGCAAATGGAACCCCCAACCTGGCAGCCCCCTTTCCTCCTGTGAAAGGAAAGGCATCACAGAGATTTAAAACCCCAGGGATTATCTTTTTGTTTTCTCTGGCTTTGATTTAGACCCTGCTACCATTGGAAGGAATCGCACAGAGAAGCCACATGTGGAGAAACATCCAGAGACACTTCAAAGAGATAACTTTGAAGAGCTCATGGTTGAGAGGCATGTGGGAGGCTGTCTGTGGTCTCTGGCTCCAGACTGAGTTTAAGTGCTAGAGGCATCACCAGCCTGGACTTGGTTGAGACGAGGCATAGCCAGGTGTTGTTCTGTCTGTCCAGGACAGAGTCTTACCTTGGGTGTCTGTTCCTATTGTGCTTAAACTTTCTTAGTAAAAACATTCTGGGCCCTCCCTGGTGGCACAACAGGTTAGAGCGCAGCACTGCAAGCTGGCTGCAGCTACTTCAGTGCAAGTTCGGTCCCCCGCCCCGGAGTTTACCCAGCTGGCACGGCAGACCTCTCCTGACCCACCCGCTACTCCCCTCAGCAGTGTATTTTGTCGATCTGCCTGTTCTGCTCCCCACTCCATCTCTAGTGAATCCTCTCACAGCCCCTGCACCTCTGGCCAGCACCCCAGTTCTGTAAGCATAAATAAATCTTAAAAAAAAAATTTTCAGTTGTTCTTTCATTTTGGCCCTGGCTGGGGGAGAGTCTGGCAGGTATCGAGGCTATTGGGAGTCATCAAGGTTTAGCGCAGTGCAGATGAACCAACTCAGGTCATGACAGGCTCCCCCTGAATGGTGAATCTAAAACTGACCAGGGCGAGGATGGAAGCAGGGAAAGCGAGAACTGAGCGATTGAAGATGGGAGACCAGGTGTGGGGTAGGAAGGGGTTTGCCAGCTGCTTGGAGGGGTCACTGCAGGTAGAAGGGATGGGACTTTGGGTCAGTCTTTGAAGTCTGGCTGACCAGGGTTTTGATGTAGTGGGTCTGATGGAGGGATGACTCTGATGCTCCAGCAGCTGGAAGGGCAAATGATCCATCAAAGCAAAGGGCAAGTTGGTGGTAGAAGGAATTTTTTGTGGAAAAGCAAGGCTAGGCTTTGGCCATGTGAGCTCTGATGCCCCAAGACCCCTCGCTGAAACAGAAGAGGGGCAGCTGGACAGGCAGGCGGGCTGTTAGGGGAGCTGGTTAGGATCTGAGAGTCGGTTACAAAAGGGACCAGGGCCAGACTGTATACAAAAACAGACCTCTGACCCACAACCTGCAGCAACCCACAGGGAAACCAGCCCCTTATCTACAGCAAACCCTCCAGGAAGCCGGCCTGTTATAATGCCGGAAGTCAGACTGCTATTGCTAGTGACAATCCAGGAAGTCAGACAATAACTTCTAGAACAACTGACCTCTACAGACCAGGACTGGACTCATCGCTGATAGCCTCTCTGATTTTTTTATTCTGCTTCCAAGTTAGGACCAACCAGAGAAAACCAAATAGGCACCCCTAGCCAATGACCCTGGACCCCACATGCTGGTCAACCTGCTTCTGCCGCCCTGTGCCAGCAAGCCCCAGTCAGGGCGTCCTGAAACCCTCCCTTTTCCCACCAAAAAACATTCCCAGTCTGTTTCCTAAAAACTAAGTGATGGTGGCTGACCGCCTTGCTGTACAGCAAGCTCAGAATAAACTGCCTTTGCTGTTCTCATCTGCTTGGTCTTCACTTCCAGTTGGGTTGTGTACCTGACTCAGCAGGCTAAAACTCCAGGTCACGGCGGGGATGACTCTTGAGAGGAAAGCGGGATCTGACGGGCCTCGGGCACCGCAGCTGGCATGCTGGGCACCACCGGAGGAAGCGCAGGGGGGTGCGTGCAGGCAAAAGGTCTGCAGGTTGCCAGACTTTCAGGGGTGTAGACACGAGAGGTCACTGAGGCTCGGTGGAGGTAACACAGCTATAGCGGTTTCCCAGAAAACCAGACGGCACTCAGGGGCAGAGAGATTTACTCGTCACATTGGTGGGCTCAGAGGGCTATTTCCCAAAGGACTGCACCCCGATAACCTGGTTTGTGGGTTTTTATACAGTGTGGGCAGAAAGCATGCGGAAGCAGTAGTTTGTTGCCCCAGATAAGTTTCCTTTGGCTGCGCCAACTCAGCAGGCACCAGGGGTGGGGTTTAAGGTGGGGTGTGGTTGTCTCACCTCAGGAGCCGGCCTTCAAGCCCCCTGGTGACTTCCCACTTCACTGTTACCATAAAAGTGGGCAGCTGCCTATCCACCCGCCTCTGCCTTCTGAGCAGGCTGACTACGACCTTGGGGCAGGGGAGCTGCGGACTCTTGGCTGGGCTGAGGACTTACACTGGACTCTGGCCTCTGGGGACAGGAGGCTGGAGGGTTGGTTTCTGAATGAGACTGATGAAGGGACAGATGTGGAACACAGGAGAAGGCAAGGGGCACGGGCCTGACATCTTGGTCACATCGGTAACTGAAGCCAGGTGGAGGGCCTTCAAGTCAAGTGTGGGTGCTGTCGTTGGCACCCATGAAAAGTCATGGACACTCCGGGGCATGATAATAGCTGTGCCTGCCAAGAACGCCCCAGAGGATGCCATGTGCAGACTGGCACGGGGGCTCCACGCAGAAATCTATGATGGGGGTCAGGAGGCGGGAGGGTGAGGGCCAGGTTGGGGAAGGTGGTCCAGCAGGTGCTGTGCACGTGGGAGTGGGAGCTGTTGGCCCCATGGCGTGGAGTGGGACTAAGGGAGGTCAATCCCCGCTCTGTATGAGGCCTGGCATGGTGGCACTGCGGGCACCCACAGCAGAGGGGTTTGGCCGGCACCCCAGGTGCAGCGCTTAGCTCCTGTGGGCCGTGGGCTGACCAAGCGCTCATGCGAGGAGCGAAGAAAGAGCCCCGTGCCAGTGGAGTGGCCTGGGACCTCCTGTGGGGCAGAGCAGGGAGGAGGGGAGCAGGGACAGACAGGGACTCACGAGGGGAGGAGCTGACCGTGGACCGCACTGTCCCCACCAAGACAGGACTGCGTGACCTGTGAGGACGTGACCACTAACTTCTCCCAGAAGTGGGGACTCCACGATGAGGCAGAGGCGCCTGTACTGCGATGTGATGCTGAAGAACTTGGCACTCGCCCGTGGTCTCGCTGGGTACGGCCTTCACCCTCACCCCCAGGGGCTCCTGAGCTCCACTCTGCAGCTCTTTCCTTCCTGCACCCGAGCCTCGGGTCCTGCTTCCTTCCCCATGTCCCTGGTTACATGTCGTGGGGCCCAGGGCTGAGCTGTCAGCAGGGCCCATCCCCCAGAGTAGCCTGAAGACCTGCTGCCCCAAAGCCTGTGCGGAAGGGCTCAGGTCCTGCCATGAGCCCGAAGGGTCCCGCCTGACTGGATGACTCCCCATCTGGGTGACAGACCACCTCTGTGAAGTTCTCCTGCTCCTCCCCTTTAGCCAACACCTCCTGTGTCCCAGGAATGTAGGGAACAACGTGATTGTTGCTTGCTGTGACTTCTGGGGTGCTCTTCTGAGACCTCCCTGTATATTCTATAATATTTCATTTCCTTCCCTGGGGTCTGTTGTGGGGCCAAGCTAAGCCCTCACCTGCTCTGTCTTTCCTCAGGACTTACCTCTCTCAGGCCACACACAGTTGCCCACCCGGAGACAGGTGCAGAAGCCTAGGTGCCTGACAGAGCAGACCCACCTTCAGCCATGGCAAAAGGGGCACACAGTGGACCTGGCTCTGGTGAGTGGGCCATGGAGAAGCAGGGGTCATCACTTCAGCCTTCACGTTGTACCTGCAACTTTTCTCATTCTCATGGTTACTCTGGTACCAAATCCAATGGCCGCTTTCGTGACACACTGCCCACCCATCTTATCTACTCCAACTTGGAACCTCCATCTGGGCTCCAGCTGGGTCTCCAGCTCTCACTCTTTCCACAGCTCCCTCTATGGCACTGGTATTCATCCAGGTGTACCCCAAAGTGGGGTACACTTAACATGCGGTGAGATGTGCACATGTCGTTAGTAGCCTTTAAACACCAGCTACTAGGATGTAGTCAGCTTTTCCTGGGACTGAACAAGCCCTTCTTGGAAGCACTTTCCACAGCAAGGGCCCTCTGAAAGCCTTCATAGTGAAGTAGCCACTCACCTGAGACTGTACCCCATATTTGTGTCCTTGGTCTTGGTAAGACCACCCCTATTTTTGACTTTCCCAAGCACAGTACTGTAGAGTAGTCCCTTCCTTACCCTGACCTCGGGCTCCTCATCCTGCCACCAAGCCATGGACTCACTCCTGGGCCAGACATGCATCTGTAACAGGGCTACTTTCTTCTCTCTGAGTTAACATGAACTTCAGCACCATTTCTCTGCTTTCAGAACTTTGCCATGGAACAGAGAGAAAGGTGTAACCTTCTGAGCATAGTGTTTCTGCAGAAAGGCTGCCAAAGAACAGGAATCCCAAGACTGCTCTGTCTACCCAGAAAGACTATCCTTGTGATATGTGTGGCCTACACTTGAAAGACATTGTGCACCCGGGTGAACACCAGGAAACCCATTCCAGGCAGAAACCACACACATGTGAGGCTTATGGGAGAGAGTGTGAGTTGAGTACAAACCTTCACCTGCAAAAGATGCAGCAGAATGTCGACAAGTCGTCCAGAAGGGATGAGAGCTCGACCTCATGTGTAAGATCTGCAGAGACAACACATCAGAGAAGCCTTTCACATTCAAGGCAGATGGGAAAACCTTCATGGCCAGATCCAGCTTTCTCCAGCCTCAGATCTCTCCCAGCACTGAGGAACCACAGCAAAATACTGAAGGCATGGTGCACTTTCACACTGTGCAAAGCCGCGATAAGTGCAATCAATTAAGGGTACTTCCAGCAACAAATCCACATTTGTTCAGCATCAGAAAACTCACACTGAAGAAAGTCTGTATGAGTGCAGCAAATGTGGGATGTTCTTTAGCGATGCTGCTGGCCTCAACACCAAAGAATTCACAATAGAGGAAAGCCTATGAATATGGTAAATGTGGGAAATTCTTTGGCCAGCACTCGAGCCTCATTAAACATGAGAGAGTTTACATAGGTGAAAGCCCTCACGTGTTTAGTGTATGTGGGAAATTCTTTAGCCAAAGCTCCAACCTCATTCAGCATAAGAGGGCTCACACTAGTGAAAAACCTTACAAGTGCAGTGAATGTGGGAATTTCTTTAGTCAATGTTGCAACCTTATTCATCATAAGAGGGTTCACACTGGCAAAAGTGCTCATGAGTGCAATGTATGTGGGAAACCATTCAATGGCAACTCCAGCCCAATTAAACATTGGAGAGTTCACACTGGAGAAAGACCTTATAAGTGCAATGAATGGGAAATTCTTCAGACACACTGCCAACCTCATTCAGCATCAGATAGTTCACAACAGTGAACAAACTTATGGGTGTAGTGAATGTGGGAAAGCCTTCAGTAGAAGCTTTGACTTCATGAAACATCAGAAAGTCCACACTGGTGAGCAACCTTATGAGTGTAATGAATGTGGGAAATTGTTTAGTCAAAGTTCCAGCCTCAACAGCCATCAAAGACTTCAGATGATAAGACTATATACCTCATCAGTGCTTAGAATGTGGGAAATTCTTTACACTAAGCTCCAGCCTCAATAACCATCAGAGAATTCACACCAATGAACAACCTTATGAGTGTGTTGAGTGTGGGAAAACTTTCAGACAGAGGTCTAATCTGAGGCAGCACCAGAAAGTTCACAAACCAGACAGGCTATATAAATGCAGTGAATGTGGAAAAGCTTTCAGTCAAAGGCCTACCCTCATTCGGCATCAGAAAATTCACACCAAAGAAAGATGCATAGAGAATGGGCTTCCTCCTTCAGCTCAGCAAGGCACACTAGAGATAAACTGCAAGAGTAATCATGAGGGAGTCCTCAGCCAGAAATTGAACATTGTTCATCCAAATATCCACACTGGGGAGATTTCCTATGAATGTTAGATATATGGACCTAAGTTGTTTTTTGTTTTTGTTTCTATTTTTTTTAATATGGAATTTATCCACTGGCAGGTCTCCAGAGTGCATGCCAGCCACATCCTTGCTCAGGGAAGGCAGACACCTTTCTTTCAAAGAGGGAATCATGAGTAGTCTGAGGCTATCAGAAGATGCCATTCCCACCCCTTATGACTGTTTTAGGTGTACACATACCCATCAAAGACCTGAACTGGGTTCTGCTGGCAGCTTGCAAAGTTTCTCCTTTTCAAGGAGAAACATCCTTGAGCTCATCTGATGCTTGTGATAGATTTATTCAGCTTCCACATTACCTATCCCAGCAACTACCTACTTTACATCATTCTGGCATGGGTGATAATAGGACCTACTGATAAGAATACCTTCAGTCTTCTGTGTTACAACCATTGTGTGAAGTGGGGGAGAACAGAATTAAGATCTGTCAAACTAAAGGGTCTTGATTTTTACTTCCACAGAGGAAACAGCAAGACAGCAGAGAACAACTTTCGGTACAGACTTTGGTCTCATTTGTGTTGCTCCTCAAAGCCTTCCAGGAAAGACTATAGGGTTTTGTGTTCTGAATGACATGAATTTTTATGACCTGAGATCACTCTAAGGAAGAGGCAGTTCTAACAGCCTCCTATACATCTGGAAGCAATATAAATTGTGCCCCTTAATTCTAAGGGGTGTCCCATATTCCTTATGGAGCAGATACTCTTTCCTTGGCATATGCAAAGGAGTCACAAGCCTTGAAGGCTAACATCCACTCTACAGGTTTCTCAGCTGAAGACTGGGCTCAGGTGGGAGCAGAATATACAGGATACTGGGGGACACTAACAGGGAGCAAGTGAGACAACTAGAGGGGATGTACCTATGCTAAGAGGATATTCACAAGTGTTCCCTTGAATATGACTGCAGGATTCAAACTAAGAAGGTCTCAGGCCCTCCAGACCTATCCTATGACGAAGGCTACTGTGGAGCAAATCACCTAAAGGCTTTGTGGTTTTCTGCCATTCTACTCTTAAGGCCACTGTGGAGCAGGCAGGAAAAGGACTGAGAAAAGTAAATGTTGCATTGCACAAGACATGGCCAATCACTTTTGCTGCCAAGGCATGAGAGAGATGGACTACCAAATCTTCCAATTTTCTAAAACAAATGGGTGATGAGATTTTTGTGTAAAATGTCTAATGCTGTGCTGAGAAACAGCTGCCATGCAATCATTGTATATAGTTGATGTATTCAGTTTCATACATTTTAAAACATGTGCTTACTCAGGGAACCCATAATGCAATTATGATAATGACTACCCACAGAGCAACCTCATGGGCCTTTCTTATCACTCCACACCTTAGCCAAGAAACCATTAGTTATACCCTAAGGAAAGATGTATTTGTCATTCCTACAATTTTAGACAATTGGATTCATAAAATATTTATACTCTAGTTTGAGCTCTTCTTTCATGCAGCATAATTACCTCAAGAATTACCCACACTGTGGTTTTTTTTTTTTAAAGATTTATTTATTTGTGCATACAGACCTGGGGTACAGGCCAGAGGCTCAGGGACAGTGAGGGGATTCACCATAGAGTGGGGAGCAGAACAGGCAGATCTACTGAAGTACACTGCTGAGGGGAGCAGTGGGCGGGTCAGGAGAGGTCTGCCGCTCCATGGGGTCACCTCTGGGGCAGGCGGGAATCGAAAACATGCAGAAGTGGCTTTAGCTTCTCTGTGCTGTGCTTTAACCCGCTGCACCATCAGGGAGGGCCCCACACTGTGTTTTTGAGTGATTTACTCCTTTTTCTACTGAGCAGTGCTCTATTCATGTACCACAAAGTTTTTAAGCTTTATTTTTAAATAAAACAATTTGGTAAAATACCTACAGTGCACAGTGTTATCACCTTGGCCATCTTTAAGTGTACAGTTCAGTGGCATTAAGTACACACTGCAAACATCACTACCATTCATCTCCAGAACAAAATTCTCTACCCATAAACAGTAATTCCCAACTCTCCCTTCCACAAGCTCCTGGGAACTATCATTCTGTTTTCTTTCTCTGAATTTGACCACTGTGGATACCTCATATAAATGGAATCATACACTATTTCTTCTTGTAACTTCTTTAACATACCATAACGCCCTCAGAATTCATTCATGTTATCGATGTGTCTGAATTTCCTTCCTGTTTAAGGCTAAATAACACCCATTGTACACATAAGGTATGTTTTACTTATTCATCTGTCCTTATTCATCTGTCCGTAGATACTTCTGTCACTTTGATCTTTTGGCTGCTGTGAAAAGTTTCCTTGAAGTTGTTTTTTATTCTTTTGGGTAGATACTTAGATATGGGTTTACTGGGTTACATGTAACCGTATTTTACTTTTTGAGGAATTGCCACACTGTTTTTCAGGGTGACTGCACCATTTTACTCCCAACATCAGTATACAAAGGTTCTAGTATTTCCACATCCTCACTAGGTTGCCTTTTCTTTTTCCTTCAGTAGCCTCTATCCTAATATGTGTGATGTTTCACTGGAGTGTTGATTTGCACTTCCCTAGTGACAGTGGCATGGACCCTCTCATGTATCTTCTTTAGAGAAATATTTATTTAAGTCCTTTTTGCATTTTTGAATTGGGTTTTTGTTATCAAATTTCGGATAGTAATCCCTTATAGATGTGTACTTTGCAGTTACTCTGTGGTTGTCATTTTATCCTGATGGTGCCCTTGATGCACAAAGGTGAATTTTCATGAGGCCAGCTGGCCTAATTTTTGGTCCATGCCTTTGGTGCCATATCTGAGAAATCATTTCCAAATCCAATGTCTTCAGCTTTTGCTCTGTTTTCTAAGTTTTATAGTTTTAGGTCTTACATGGAGGTCCTTGCTGCATTTTGAGTTCATCTTTTATATGGTGTTAGGGAAGGGTCCAGTCTGTTCTTTTCCATGTGACTAAGGAGGGGAAGCTGTCCTTTCCTCATTGTTTGGCTTTAGCACCCTTTTAGAAAATCACTTGGCCTTGTATGTAGGGTTTATTTCTGGGCGCCACTCTACACCATGGTCTGCATGTCTGCTTTTATGCCAGTGCCATACTGATTTCATCACTGTAACTTGACACTAAGTTTTGAAATCAGAAATTCTAGGTCCTCCAAAAAAATTTTATTTTTTCATGATTGCTTTAGCTCTTGGGGGGTCCCTTGAAACTCCATATGAACTATAGGGTAGAATTTTCTGTTTCTACAAAAAAAAAATGTCAATGAGATTTTGATGGGGATTATATGAAATCTGTAGATCACTTAGGTGTCCTCGACACCTTAATATTCAGTTGTCCAATTGATGCACATGGGGTGTTGCCATTTACTTATATCTTTTGTAATTTCTACACAGTAATGTTTCATAGTATAATTTTTTTACCTCCTTAGTTAACCCCTAAGTATTTTATTCTTACTGATGTTACTATAAAATGAAGTGTCTTGACCTTCCCTGGTGGCATGACGGGTTAGGACACAGCTAGTATCACTAGTGCAAACTAGTGACAGCCGCTTCAGCGCAACTTCTATCCCAGCCCTGAGGTGACCCACATGGCGCAGCAGACCGCTCCTCTCTGGCCTGTTGCTCCCCTCAGCAGTGTACTTCGTCAATCTGCCTGCTCTGATCCCCACCCTGACTCTGGTGAAGGCTCTTATCACCCATGCACCTCTGGCCTGTACCCCAATCTGTGTACATAAATAAATAAATCCTAAAAAAAATGAAGTGTTTTCATAATATCCTACTCTGTTCATCGCTAGTGCACACACCTGATTTCTCTGTGCTGGTTTTGTTTTGTGGCGTCTAAGGGTTTACTATCTATGCCCTATGTTTTGTTCACTATTCTTCAATCAATTTTCCAGTCTTCAAGTTCACTAATTCTTCTGCTACTCTATTTCAATTTTCAAGTCTTCAAGTTCACTAATTCTTCTGCTACTCTAATCTACTTTTGATATTTCTAGTGAATGTTTTTAATTATGTCAATTTTAGCTCCAGAGTACCATTTCAGTTTCATTTATGTTTTCTCTTTTGTGATATTTCCATTTTCTTTACACATCATTCTCTTGACTTTCTCCACGTCTCCTTTTAGTTCTTTGGGGATCTGTAAAAAAAAAAAACTGCTTTAGAGTCTCTGCCTGGTAGATATGGCACCAAGTCTTTTCCAGATTTATGTTAATTTTTCCCTCCAGTGGGCCATACTCCCCATTTCTTTGTATGCCTTTGGATTTTCTTATTAGACACCAGACATTTCAATCTGGCAACCTGGTGATTCTGGAAATAAGATTCTCTACCTTGCCGAGGTTTTACTATTTTTTTTTTTAAATTGCTGTGGTTTCTCTGCTGGGGATTGGCCTAAAATGTAAATTCAAGGTCTTCCTCTCTTGTGAGCTTCTGCCTTTCCATGGGTATGTATAGTGACTCTCTAAATTCCTCCCAACTGCTCTGAAATGCCTTCATTCGAATTATCTGGCTCCCTAAGAGGTTAAAAGAGAAAACTGAAGCAGGGAATGTGCTGGTGCCTTAAATCCCCTGGAAGTGACTTTCCCAGAGAGAAGGGATTTGCCACAATGAGAGGAGGGCTGCAGCAGCCGCTGTCCATGTCCACATCTTCACCTCCCAAACTAACCACAATCAGAGGTCAGAGCAGAGATCCTTGATATCTGGAGGCCGGGCTTCCACAAACTCATGAGTTGCTCCAGCAACATGCACACAGCTGTGTGCCTCAGGCAAGGAAGGGGGGAGGGGGAGGGCTGCTAGTGAGCTAATGGCTGAAATCAACCAAAATTAATTGCAATTTAATTTTCCCAGAATCCTCACTCAAACATACCATTTAAAAAACCTTTTATTCTCTTAAATGACACATAGGTACTGGCTACTACAAATTACACCACTATGGCCATGAATATATAGGTCTCAGCAGTGTATTTCAGTCAATCTGCCTGTTCTGCTCCCCACTCTGTCTCTGGGGAATCCTCTCACACACCCCCTATGCCTTTGGCCTGTACCCCAGTTCTTGTATGCATAAATAAATAAATCTTTAAAAAAAAAACCAAAAATTTAAAATAGTGCAACAAATTATTGAGGACACCAACCTACCTACATGCCCAAACCTACAACCACAAGCCCAATTCTTTCTAAAACCTTGGCAGGGAAGGTGTTTTTTTCATTTGTTTACTGAACTATTAAATTGATTTC